TTTTTTTTTTTTTTTTTTTTTTTTTTTTTTTTTTTTTTTTTTAGTTTTTGAAAATTCAATTTGATTTCTTATAATTGCTTACCAATTCTTAGTCAAATTCTTTTTTAGTTTTCAAAACTTATTTTAGATTTTGAAAACGATTAAGAAAAATAATAGATAACAAAACAAAGAAACCTAACCGGTAGAAGGAGTGTTTATAACTTTAATTTTCGAAAAACAAAAACAAAAAAATTAAACACTTGGCACATCGAGCTTTAGTTATCTAAGTTGTACACTATCAAATGACATGAATAAGATACAAGATTATAAACAATACCAAATAAAACGAGCGAGAAGAAAGCAAAGACATCGAGTAAAATGAAAAGAAGAAAGGAAGGGTGGTTCAGGGGTTATGAAAAGTAAACCCAACCTGAGAATCAATCACCTGTGCGTTTGGTTTGTAGGTTAGAAAGACGTTGAAAGCAGAGGGTAAATGAGCGCAGGAAGCAACCAAACAAAGCCAAGCCAAGCCAAGCTCTGCGTTTGGTTTGGTTTGGATTTCTTATTAATTGTTAGATCAGGGAAAGAAGGCAACTCCTTCCGATGGGATCACATCAGATCTGGACGAGCATGATCGTGACACATAGCAGAGGCCACTGGCACGCTGCCAAAAACCACAAGCTGCAGATGCTGGTGGAGAGACATGACCCTCATAACTGGAACGTCATTGCTCAAAGCCTTCAAGGAAGATCCGGTGGGTAAATTATATGTTCATTAAATCTACAATACCCATCTCATTGTTTTTTTATTCCCTTCAGGGAAGAGCTGCCGTTTGAGATGGTTTAATCAGTTGGATCCTCGCATAAACAGAGACCCCTTCACCCAAGAGGAAGACCAGAGGCTGTTGGCGGCGCATACCATTCATGGCAACAGATGGGCCATCATCTCTAGGCTTTTTCCTAGCCGCACTAATAATGCCGTGAAGAACCATTGGCATGTCATTAGGTCTCGAATGTCGAGACGGGCTTCCAAATATCACGTCAAGACTATGTTAGGGATAACCAATATTCACAGTGGTATTATGATATTGTCTATTTTGAATGTTTTAAGAAAGTCTCGTACAGTGGAGACAATATCTCTCATAATGGCACGTTTGTGTTTCAGATAGAAATCAAGGTGTGGATTTTTACAACTTTCTCCACTTGAATACAAGATCTATTAATGGAAGTGAAGTGATAGACCACTCAAGAAAAGATGATGAAGAAGTTAATCAAAAAGCTGCCACGACCGCCAACACCGGCCATGACGTTGTTGTTCAAGGAACCCACAAGGATGAGGAGAAGGTAGTTCCATTCATTGATTTCTTTGCTGCCCAAACCTCTATCTCCTAACTAAGCTTCTTCAACATGTTTCTTAAATTACTTAGTTATACCATTTATTGCTTATTTCAAAGGAATGTCAATATTGGATGATATATTTTGTGAATGTCACTAAAACTAAGTCAATTACTCAAAAACAACTTACCAAACCCTAGAACTGAACTTGGCTTCATAAATCTAGTTTCTTGCCATAGCTTCGACTGTAATTAGTCCATCCATACGCTAAAGCTTAACTTATAATAACTCATTATCTTTTAACACATACTAAGAACGAAAAGATTAAACTAATGATCTAAGAAAAGGTTAACTTGTAATGGTCTAAATTATTAGGATCAGATTCTTAGCATAGGCACGAATATAACTAAACAATTAAGCCATCTATATTGATATTTCCTTACACACGAATTCAATAAAATACTAATCAAAATCCCACAAAGAATTCAAATTTCTACCGTTCGATTGATCAAAAGAAATCACCAGCGAAGAAAAGAGAAACCACACAAACAAACACACTCCGTGTCATAAGCATATTATATACAGAATTTGTCTTAGTACAGCGTCGTAAATTCGTGTCGTAAACAGCTTGGAGTTCAATGTCACAGCACAAAAAAGTTAATGGGGGAAAATGGGAATTGATATTTGTAGTCACATTTAGAAATATCAGTATCAATATGAACGTGGGATACTCATTTCTTCCGCCATCAGACACCCTAGAGATTGCAGTAAAAGGCCTAGTACCTAATAAGTCTAACAGACACTCACGACAGACTGAATCCTGATACAAGAACAAAAGGAAGACCCAAAGGAACCAGAGGGTCGCAAGGCTTAGACTAAAAATACTCTAACGTAGCATCACTGACCTTGCTTCAAATATGGATAAGCAAGAACTTTAGCAAAATATGACTGATAACCTAAAGAATTATCACACATTTACAACAAGATTGCCCCCTTTTCCAAAGCGATAAAAATAAAGAAACCCCAAGAATACATAAGTCATCAAAAACTACATTTCGATTGTGGTTAAATAGGGGACAACTTGGTGTGGGGGTAAAAAGTTCGGTACAACAAGAAAAGCTGAACAAACCTTTTCATTCGATTGGGAAGAAATTTGAAGTGCAAAAATCCCTTCAAAAATCAGTAAGTAAAGCCAACCAAGTTAACCATGAATCACATGCAGCTCCATCCTGCTTGAAAAGCCAATAAACTACAATCATGAGGGCAGCTGTAATATATTATCAGAACCAAGTTACTTCAGATGATGGTTCATGAAGAAATAGGTTCATAAGGATAAGATAGCCATGGGTGTTTAAGTGCCTCTGATGCAGAAGGGCGTTTCTTGGGATTTATCTCAAGCAGATGGGCAACAAAGTCGATGAAACCTTGATCCCCCATTGGCAATCGGTGCCTTAACGATGTCTTTTTTGGTATGAGATATTCCAGTCTATTGCTTTCCTGGAAAAAGATGAAAATTTGTGTAAAATGACGTGATAAACATGAACAAGAACCCGATAGTAGGTGTCAATAATAAAGATAGTTAGGATTGCACCAGCGTGAAAAAGTAATTCAAAAGATATTGCATGCCCAACAGAAGTACAGGGCAAACATTCTTTGCTTGCCAAGGTAATCAAGTGAAATTTAAAATAAAATGTCATCATGGCATCAAGGCTTTCAACAAACAATAAAGAATTCCAAACATAAACTCAGTTAGCACACGAATGTTGCCCAAGCTAACCAAATGGATACTATCATGTCTATTAATTGGATAAAGAATACTAAAAGGCGTCCAGAAATCATGAGCTACATAAAATCCAATACCCTTAAAATTAATGTTCGTGATCTGATCTTTAATCAAACAGATGGGGGTACAGACCAAATAAAACACCTCAGAAATTTGGCCAGGGAAGTGAAAAGAAAAACAACCGAGCACCAAAATCACATGCAACAGACATAATACATATACGTCCAACAAGAATGTATTAGGAATCTCATAATTACTTATTTCTTAATGAAAGTAGCCAAAGTATATCATTAAACACAAAGAAAAACACATTAAAAGGAAAGAACCTCGATCTCAGGCCAAACTAATTAACCAGCATTGCTTTCAGCTCTTGCGTGGCAATGTCAAATGATTTCCCAGATAGATTGGTGTTCAACGTGTTAGGACTTATTCAGGAAGTCCTTTATCACTGAAAATTTTACCTTCATGAATTATTCGCTGAAATTTATCCAAATTAGTTTTATTAGGGATTGCACAAAACAGACTATTCTTGACATTTCCTAATCTTAACGAGATCATCTGGTATGACTCAGGGCAGTCCTCGTGAAGGGAAGCTCTTTTTCTGCCACTGGATGTTCTGTGCTTTTTTGGGACTATCTTCTCTTTCTTTCTCTTTCTTCTTTTTGGTTGTTTGATGCAAGGTGAGTAGGAAGAAGATAGACATATGTTGTCCTAAACCTCCAAAAAGACTTTCTTGGAACAATTAGGTCCCTCCAGGAGCATGCATTCATGCAAGTTTTTCTATTATTATTTATCGTGACTCTCCCACTCACAGCAAAAATAAAAAAATAAAATAAATAAAGTAGATAAATAATTTGATCCTAAAAAGTGATCTAGACAAAGTTGAATTAAATAATGTGATAGAGCCAATTTTCGAAATACTTGCATCACATTTTCACCTCATTATAAGAGTTCATTCTGTATGTGGTCTAGGAAAAATTAGCAGTAAAATTATATGAAAACATGAAACTGCATGTGCGTAACAAAAAACTGCAACAACCATCTCATCTACCTTTAACATACTATGCAGAATAGTTGAGAACTAAATGAATGGCTTTGAAGAAAAATGAGGCTTCGTAACACAGGCAATGATACAATTTAAGATAGAGCACATTTTTACCTGATTTCGTTCATACAGCATATGATTTTTGGTAAAATACTTGTATGTATCTCGTCCCTTAGCAAGCATACTTTGATCAATGGGACTTATAATTCCGATCACTCTAGCAAGTAATGTGGCAGGAGAATCATTTTGAAACAGAACCTGCAAGTGAAGTAGCATGAGAAAATTCTAGTTTGCTTTGGCTCCTCTTAGGCTAACTGTTTAATTGTGAAGAGCTTACAAGAGATGTTCAAAAGCTATTATGTAATTTTGGAAACTTGAATGCCCTACACTATGCTATTGTTCAGCATAAATATGTACAAACCACTGGATGATGTGAGAAGGAAATTGTGTCGAGATTTTCAACTCCATCATAAAGGCTTCATGATTGTTAATTCTGATGTTAGAAAATCCTTGAGAAGTATAACAAATATTGGTGAAAAAAGTGGTTGAGTAACCTTACATTGCCAGTACAAAGTTCTGCCAAGATACAGCCAAGAGACCATATGTCTATCTTCTTATCATATGGAAGTCCCAAGATAACCTCTGGGGCCCGATAGGATCGAGATTGAACATAGGAGCATAGATGATCTGTCTCAAAACAACTACTTCCAAGATCAATAACTTTCACCTCACATCTACTGTAACTTTTCACCAATATATTTTCAGGCTTCAAGTCACAATGTATAAGATCAAGACCATGCAAAAACTGAAGTGCCTCCAGGCATTGTATTGTAATTGACTGCAAAGAACAATTTTCATTGGTTTAGGCCAATACCACCCCCAAAAAAAATTTACAAAATTATTGACCTTCACACACCTGCAATCTTGGCATGGTGAAGTACACTTCTCCTCCTGATTCTCTATTAAATTTGTGAAACTCATATAGGTTTGCCTTCAGAAGTTCACACACAATTAACAGATGCTCCTGGAGGGGAAGAGGGGAATTTAACCAATCATTAAAACCTATTGAGACAATTATAAGGATAAAAAATGGCAATAAATGCTAATTTGGCACTATATGCCTTTCATACACCCTGGAAAATATGAAGGATTATTTAATAACAATTACTACAAACGACTAAATATGATTAGACAAGGGAAAAAATAATCAACCACTGACTTACATGCATTACCATTCAGCACTTACCCGATAGTAGAAGTAATCATATAGTCGTAGAAGGTGGTATTTGTCTCCTGGGTCGTGCTTATTAACATATTTTAGAAGCTTTATTTCATCAAGGCTCTGATCAAAAAAATCCTTGTTGTTCTTTATAATTTTTATACATACATCCATGCCTGTGTGCAAATCATGTGCTTGTATAGCCTTGCTGAATGCAGCTGACCCAAGATATTCAGTAACATGATAGCGTCCGGCTATTACAGAATTTAATACCACATGGAAATTCTTGTCCTCCTCAAAACCAGTTCTAGGTAACAATAACACAAATATCAAAATCTTGGAAATAATTATAAGTATTCATAATAATAGACTTAAAAACGTTCCACAAAAACTTCTAACTTCCAAAGAACTTAGAACAAATTAAATATCTTACTACAATACAAACACAAAAGAACAACTTCCGGTTTATAGCATGAATGATATAAAAAAACAAATCATGAAGTGTTCCATTACTCAATAAAAATAAATAAATAGGGGCCAAAATATTAGTGTGCAATATCAGAAGAATAAGTCATCATAACCCTTCAGGAACATTATATGGATCATCGAGCCAAAGAACCAGACAGTTCACATAAAAGGAAACAGGGAAAGATGAAAGTACAGAGAAAATAGTTGCCATTTGGTTAAAATTACAAATCTAGAATCTTCTACTCGTGCAAATTCATACACCTTCAGACATTCCAGCACTCCTAAGACAGAGAAAGAGAATCATTTTTTCAATTAAAATTCCAGATGAATATGCTCATCAACAAATATTAGAAGTATTCAGTATAAATCAGTTCAGAAACAAAATTTACATAGTTCATATAATTGGCGCAAGTAAGACATCATAAACTCCTAACAAGTAAGAAAAAAAGCATTTGAAGGCACAGATACTTGTAGAGAAGCATGAAGATTTTCTATGAGAAGATAGAGTAGAGAACACTTTTTTATTATGAGAGGAAAAAAAACAGAAACATATGTGCGACTTACATATTGTGTCCATTTTTAATCAGTCCTCAGATCACTCAACAATAAAATCTCAAGTCAGAAACAGCGATTGATAAATTCAATATTGATGGGTGATATCCGGGGCATACCTGTTCTTACGATGAACAATTTTGAGGTTGAAGGACTCAAATTCCTCCTCCTGAGACCTTATCTGCCTTACTTGCTCTTGTACAGCAGCTGCCTCTTCATCCTCGAGTGATGCCACAGGGTCTTCTTCCCTTATGCTACTAATTTTATCAACATTTTCTATCTTGGTGTGCCTTCTTTCAGTGTAATGATAGTTGGAAAGCATGGAAGGACTTGAACTTTCGGACCTTACAGCATTAGCATTATTTTCATCCCTAAGACTATTATCAGGAGAAGAATCAGAATTTTTTTGTCGCCAAGCAAGCATATCATCAGATTGCATCAAAGCATTCAAAGATGCATCATTTTCATCACTAGCCACTCTGTTAGAGTTGTTAGACCACAAAGACTTGCCAGAGCTTGCCTGTACTAATTGTCTATCTCTCAAGGGTGGGGGAAATGAAAATCCCCCATCAGTTTGATTCTGGATCTGTGAAGACATGCTTGTATCGTTCCCAGATGATTGTTTATTCGGTTGCTGTTTACTACAGCTCTTCTTATCCCTTTTCGATCTATCCAAATATTTTTTCTCTGAATCATGATAAGTAAGTCTGGAGGCACCAACTCCAACCTCATGGTCATGGAAATATTCTAAATCCCCCTCACTGCTGCCTCCCACCAAGCTTTCACGTACTTCACTGCCAAAATCTGCCACATCACTATTGATCCCCACACCAATTGATCTAACCGAACCAAGCTGATCATCATCCATACAAATATCATCAAGCCTTTGTTTTCTAGACTCATTCACAACTTTCCCATCCCCTAACATTATCAACTCATTAGTCTGGGTGACAAAACCTTGCCACACAGGTTCAGCACGCATCAAGTTTAGTTCCTCTTCATCCATCAACTGCCCATCATATTGAGCCATTAAATCATTCTTATTGGTCCTCCCATACATTTCTGTCACAGTCAGCCCCATAGGATCCTCTGAGTTTGTAACGGGTTGAATATGTTTTGATTGAAAATACTGTTCACCAGAAAAATAAGAGTCCTCCTCAGCAAAAGATTGATCATCATCCTCACATTTGGTTTGAGCTCTATCCTGCATATCTGGGACACTTCCATGCCCTGTTCCCTTTTCATTGTCACTTGGATAATCAATCTCATGAGCCAAGAACCATGCTTCATCCTCGATAGGTTGTCGCATGTACCCAACGTCATCATCGTCATCATATTCATCAGAGTCCCAATACTCATTTGGATAGTCCAGAGACTCACTTAAGCCATCACCAACAGTGGCAAAACCAGAAACTAAATCAGATGTATCCTCTGCAATTCCCTGGCTTACAGACAACCAACTGCCACCAGCATTCCTCTTTCCACCTTCAATTTAAACTCAAAATTATATCATTAGGATTTTAGTATAGAATTTACATGATAAATGCACTAAAATCTTAGGTCAACATACTCTGAATCACATATGTGCAATCACTATGCAATTACCATGTGATTGAAATGAAATACTAAAGCCCCAAACATTAATTCATCAAATAAAAAGCCATACAGCCTTGCCAAACAACGATGGTGTCCAGGTTACATCTACTAACATAAAATCATCAAATATCATGCAAATTCAAATTATCATTGTCATAAGAGGTACCACAATGTGTAAGGGAAATTGCATGCTTTGGAGAAAAACAAAACCACCACCAATTAAGTCTACAATAATTAGGCAGAAATACTTTATTATCATTAGGAACGTAAAAATTAAAAAATAAAACAAAATAAGCATATTAATTTGGCCGACCCATATGTTTGCAGAATCATGAAAAAAAAGGTCTCATCCGGCTTGAGAGATTATTCAAGTCAATACTTAAATTAAGACAGTGCAAGGAAAGAAAAACATCGAAATTATCAGGAAATAATGATAACGAACAGAAAATTATCCACAAATTGTCAAATTGTGATAGAATAAAAGAAGTTATATCTGTTGGCGTAAGAGCATACCAGCAGAGGAAATTTCTTGCCCAACAGGAACATCCAAATAAGACCCTATAAGAAGGGAGCTGTCCATGCTAGTAAATTTTGCAATTTGTCCATCACTTTCAAAGTTTTCCTTCCAATTAAGACTTAAAGGCTTGTCTTCAGACTTCAGTTTGACAGGTGGCAATCGAGGCATTTCCTCATGACTTTCAGCCACAAGAGCTAAACTTAAACTGGTTAGAGTTTTTTGCTCAGTACTGTCCTGAGATCTGTCAAAATATAAAGTCCTTCCCACTTCACCTACCTGCTCTTTAATCGTTGCCCTTATATCACTCACCTCTGTTTTTCTCTTTGTATCTAGTTTGTCAGAACAAATCGTGCTATCATAACAGTTTGACACATCTCCCTTGGAAAATGGAAAAACAGTCTTCACAGAACAATTTTTCAACAAATCTGATGGCGAAGATTCCTTACCTTTATACCATGAAATATCAGCAGCGTTCTCTTTTGTATATGCAGAAGTAGCCTTAACTTGCTGATCTAATTCTTTCGGTTCAGAATTTTGGGAGACGTCATATTTGGTTTCCACATTTGCTTTGCTACCACTTCCATGCCACAAGTCTCTCGTTTCACCAGATGAAACAACACCTTCACCTGCTTTGAAGTTGACTTTTCTTGATTCAGAAACTTCTCCAGTATGATATCTGGATTTTTCAGATACCTGAAGCTCAGGAAAGTTAATTGTATCCTTGAACCCATCATTCTGAGAGATTCCAACCGGACCATTGCTAGATTTGACTTTCCATGAATATAAATCAAGCACAGTATCATCTGAGCCCTGAGAAAAAGCAAAGCTCCTGTCACTCGTTCCAACTGCTTCGTTTGATTTATTCCTCTCTCCAGAATCATTTTTCCATTTGCTTTCAGCACCATTTCTACTACTTCCGCACTCTATTTCCTTCACAATAAGTTCCTTGGAAACATCAAGATTATTTTGTGAACCTGTCAGTCGGTTCTCCACCATTGCTTTGTCCCCATTTTCTACCTCCAACGTGTCCCCTAAACTCTTCTCGTCAAGTGTAAGTTTCTTGAGAAGTCCATTCAAATCTGGGTGGTTACTGAGCTCACTTCGTAACGCTGCCTCGGCTCTTGTGAAGTGATTCTGTTTTAAGAAGTCCAGAATTACATCGATTGAATTTGATTGAACCATTTTCAGCTTCTAAAAATCTGCAAAGCCATCGAAGTTGGTATGGGACTCATGTTAACAAATTATATCACAACATTACTGAGACGTAACTCCATTGCATGCAAAGGAAATGAGGGAATGAAGAAGATAGGTCCATGGTATAACGGCATTTCACTAGATTCTTTTACCATAATTAAAGGAAACTGACCTTCTACTATGCTCAACTCAGCGGCAACATTATTCTGTCTCCTCGCGCTGTGGAACAAAAGGGAAATCCAAGATTTAGAAAATTGAAAGATGTTTCTTCCCGTACATAAAAAGAGCATTCAACAAATGAAAAATAACGTTTTCCTGTGAGAAAAGTAAGAAAATCGAAGCTGCAAAACAATCCTACGCATCCAGCCAGAAACCCTTTTCTACCGCCGATCAACCAACGATTCTTAAATTGCGAACGAAAATGGGGCACTGGGTAACAAAAGGCACACAGACCCCGTTGTGTTGGGATGTCCAGAATCACCTGAATCCAAAGGGACTCAACATAAAGTGGAGCTGAATTCATTCCGACAGCACCTTAACGACATCTCGACCGAAAACGAAACATTCTCAGAAACCCTAAAACAAGCGGGATCTGACGATTTTGTTCCTTTCGCCCCCAAGAACAATAACCATATATGTTTATTTACAGAAATAAAAAAGGGGGGGAAACTAAAACGAGGCACATGCCTGAAAAAGAGAAATTACAACGAAAAATAAAAATGGAGATGGTAAGAGAGGAGGGAGGACCTGCAGGATGCTGGTACAAGAGGAAGTGGTGGCGAGAGAGCGGCGATGGGCGGTTTCCGCGGTGTCGCTGCCGCCTGCTACGCTTTGGTTTTTTTTTTTTTTTTTTTTTTTTTCCC